AATAACATTGCAAATTGGCAGAAACAAATATCCTTCAGCAAAATCTCAACAATTTTTTTTAGAAATGTCAAATATAAATCTATTGTTAATGTATCAATCATTAGAACATTGTTCAATTACTGGGACATTTACCTTATTTGGTATCGTTATGTCCCTAAAACTTGTATATTATACATGAATAAATAAATAAATATATAATTATTTTTCCGTTCTCAGCAAAATATGTTCAACAGAAAAATTCAACAAAGTATGTTCGACAGAAAAATTTATGTAACAAAGGATTAATAGTCTACGTCACGCGTCCCTTTCGAATCAGCGTTTTCCGGAAACTGCGCTCGCGTCGGACACCGGCGAATTATACTTTCTTGCACTTCTAGTGAGTCAAGTCTGTAGCGAGGACGGAATGGAGTTCACCCTGAGGACACCGGAGGGATTCATCGGGCGAATTTACACGTACGGGTACTACGATCGATGCTTCTTCCGCGGGAATGGCGGGACCGTGAACGTACTCCGCATCAGCGGACCTCAGGGATACCCGGAGTGCGGCACACAGCGAGTAAGAGTGGCAATTTTACTTAACGGATTGGCCCATAAATAAGCTCTAGTTTCATTCACGTGAGAAACTTCCGCTATCGTATATGCAACCATAGTCGAAAAATCGCGAAAATCTTGTCGACTCGAGATCTTTGATGCGTGTCGAAGATGAGAGACGACTTTACAATAGACATCGAATACAGTGAGAGAAAAAGACTTATTCAATGAGTACTCTAATAACATATTTTATTAATAACATATACCTGAATTATTTTATTTGAGTAGAATAAACAGTTGCTTTGACGAAAAGCTAAGGTTTTGAGAAAATGTATATTTTTTCTCTTGTTTAAAAAATATTTTAAAAATTATTTATTTATTATGTTTCTAAGTAAAAAAAAATATAGTACTCACTGAATAAATATTTTGTATTTTTAAATGTTGTTTCTCTCAGTGTATCTTTTAAGAACGTCGACGTGGACGATTTGTCACATTTTCTATTTTGCATATTCTTATTCATAAAGAGAGGAACCTAACTGTTACCTTCTCTGTTGGCGCGCCAATTGTAAAAATAAAACTGTGATAAAATAATTTTTTTACCACGAATGATTACAGTATGGCGATACGATGACGAATATCGTGGTGGTACAATTCTCGGACTACGTGCAAACTGGGCGAGATAAACGATTCAACCTGACGTGCCTATTTCGAGGCCCTGGCGAAGCTGTCGTCACGTCCGGCTACATCGGTGCCGGGTATGCCAGGTCATATCGATCGAGAGGTCGTGTCTTGCACCAAAAGTACGGTCTTTAACGCGCTAAGTGCCATACATATTTTCAAGAACGTCGAATACCGTAAATATCGAAGAGTCCTCGGGCATATACGCTCCAGGAGTGATTAACAATTCCTCGATGATCTTCGCTGTGCGCGTAATCCTGTGTCGAATCATGCATTCTGCAAGATTCCTTTCCGACAAAGGGTGTGTTTCGTTTAATGCCCGCCACGTACAAGGATTCCTTCCAGCTCCGTAATTGTTGAGCAACATCGTTCCAACGGCTTATCCTAGGCTTCCCTCGCTTGTTAACTTTTTTACTTTAACGTGGACCCATGTATGATGCTTAGCGGGTTACTGCGAACGGAATAAAGCCGCTCCGCTTTTCGTATGCGAGTTTATTCGTACGTATATGGGTGCAAGCACGCTCGTGCAATTTCTTTTATTACACAATCAGTCCCGAATGTCTACCGAGAACGAGATGCACGTTCTATTTCCTGTGTACGCCTGTGTTTCGCATTATATCATAGATCGCATACAACGAACGCTACCTTCACGCGAATTCAAATGTGTCTTTGTATCGATGATTCTCTGCTTTGATATTATTTTTCACGGTAAAACACAACGCTACATTCAGCAACAGTTAAATTAGCTTCAGCAATAAAAGTCTACTGCGTATTTGATTGGAGAGAATTAGAGCTCGTTATTATTGTTTCAATTACCAAATTGCAATTTCCAACAAGCCTAACAAAGATTCACGCCGCTGGCGTCACCTTTTATACCTTCCCCATTACAACTCGATAATTTCGAGTAATCCCAATTTCACTAATGGGGCTTGTACGTGCGCTGTGCAGATCAGGGTCTCCCATTCCCATCGAATACCTCCCAGCGGAGAACACCCTGAGTTCCAGAGTGCGTTTGCTGATTCTCTATCAGGGAAGACCCACGACCACCATCGCAGTTGGCGATCCCCTCACTTTCCGACTCGAAGCGCAGGATGGGTAATTTTTGTCCTACTTTGCTTTAACACTGACTGTGCAAACGGCAATACTAAACTTCAAGACACGAGATTTAAGAAGAAATGATGTAACTTTCGCGAAATTACGACACGTATCGCTGCTCGACTAGTATCGTCGTTTAATAATTTCGTCGATTTAAAGTCTCGCGTGTTCAGCATCTCATGGTCGCGGCCATTACTTCTTGTAGGTACAATTACGTGACGGATATATTCGCGACCAACGTCATCGCGAGGGACCCTTACTCCGGCAGAAGCGTGCAACTCATCGACAGATACGGGTAAGGAAAATTAAATCTCTCAGTAAGATAAACGTGCCAATATCCAGAAAAGTGCCTTATCCTGGATATTCTTATTGTTTTGGTTTTTAAACACGAGTACACGAGTTTGTACTTTCAACATACAATATACAGAGTAAGTCAATAACTATTGCTACCTTGAATCATTTTGAAGTTAAAAGCAAAGGTGACTTTAAAGTGATTTTCGAAACTATTTCTTTAAGAAAAACGTCACAACCATAAGAAACTTTTTTACTAATCCAGAATAGAAAATCTAAAGATCACCTTTGTTTCTTGTTTCGAAGATATTCAAAGTGGCAATAATTATTGATTCATCCTGTACATACATATATTCTATGTTAAAAGTTTAAATATTCGTATTTAAAGACCAAAACAATAAGAACGCCCAGGATTGTTCGAAAATTGTTACTTTTATCTCTTATTTCCTAAATATAAATCTTGTGTAAAGAGCAATAAGTGCCCGTTATAGGAACATTGTCGATATTGTGGAATTAATAATTTAGATAGCGTATACTTGAATTCTCCTTCTTGATTAGAAATAGCAAAGCACGAGGACAAGAAAGCAAACTCGATCTAAATTTTGCCGTAGCGAGTATTACTTCGGCAAACGATCGCGCTCGAGGACACTTCACGTACGTGTAACTCAAACGGAAATTTTCACAGCTGTCCGGTAGATAACTACGTGTTCCCAGGACTAGATCGTCTCCGTGACGGTGACAGCCTAGAGGCTCGCTTCAACGCTTTCAAAATACCCGAATCAAATTTCCTGGTGTTCGAGGCGAACGTGCGAACGTGCCGCGACGGCTGCCAGCCGGCATATTGCTCCGGAGGTACTGGCAGAAGCGAACCTTCCTTCGGCAGACGGCGAAGGGACATAAATAATGACACGGTAGCGGATGAGGACGAAATGTCGCCGATAACCGTGATGGACGGTGACGCTAACAACGCAACGATTTTGAACACGACCGGCGTCGTGGACGATGAGCCGGAGGACGAGGAGGAGGAAGAGCACGTCAGGGAAATGATCGAGGTAGATCGTTTTCATTTCGACGCTCGAAGGGAACGAAGAGAATCACCTCCGGGTCGTCTATCACCATCTCTCACTCTACGAGAGTGACCGAAAAAAGCACCGTATAAATTTCCGCGACATTTTCTGCGCAGGTTCTCGACTCGCGGATGGACATCGAGGAAGAGAGCGTGGTTGAAAAACAAACTAAGGTTTTGGAGAGTATTTGTATTACTCAGAACGAATATTACGGATTGGTCACGGCAGTTGGAATTCTCGTCGTTCTCTTAGCCTCTGTCGTTCTCCTCTCCATGCTCGTTTACAGGTAAATCACCACCTCGAGTCTCTGAGAGAAAATGCATTTTCTATCATTTTGTAATCTGACAGAAATCTGATGAGAATAATGTACAATTGATATCGCGTCTCATTCTCGCAAATCACATTCTTCATCTACTCTGCCCGCTAAGAAAACTCAGAGTATCTCGTTATTTCAGAAAATACGTTTATTCCGTGATTATGAAAAATCGTAGACTCGATAAGACTTGCAACCGTAGCAGCCACTCCGACGAGCCCTACAGCAGTCGAATCAACAACTTCTCATTCATGAGGGCAGGTCTTCAGAAACCATTTCAGGCCTCGTAAGTAGTTAAACGATACCATCAACACGTTTTTGCGACTTGCGAGTTGTCAAAGGCTTCATAGGTGTTGGATTAACATTATATATTTTAAGTTTTACCATTTAGCTTTTACCTTATCTGCTCATTCAATAAATAATACGGTTTTAATTCGCGATGAAACTGTAAGAGATAATCGTATATCACTAGATCGATCTCGAGATCAATGAGCAACGCGATCAGCCAACGTCTCGCTTCATCATCCACCGCTCTAGAGGGTGCAGTGGGATTATCAGTCAGTCGACGCAACGACTTCGACCCGAGCGAGCCGATTTACACCGATCCTTCGCTCTTCGAGGTAACCCGCTGCACGAACGCTGCGAAGCCGACCCTCAACGACAACTTTCATCTTATGTAAGACGAAGACGCTAGATGATTAATCTTCAAATTTGCATACTTGCGAGCGATTTGCATTCTTTTTATTTATTTTAATCAACGCGCATATGACGAACCCACGACAAATCGGCATTTACTGCAAACCATCTTACCACTACTAGTCAATAATCCACTGCCAGTACTATTGCCAATCACGACTGCTAAGTATTTTCAAATGGTTATTTAAAATTTCCAATAATTTAAGTCTATCTGTTATCCCTTTGAAAATATAATTTAATTTGAAATCCACGTTTATAGCTAAACAGTTAAGATCTTGCTTTCTAAACATTTTTTCCCGAGGTATCTTAAACGAAAATATAGACTTTTCTTCTCTTAAATAATTCCGCGAAAAATAACTAGAAAAAAATTCGTAATAATATAGTAATCTAAGTTTTAAACTATCAAAGATTGTATCTCTCGTTCAAGATGCAAGGAGGACTAGACTAATAATGTGTGGTATATCTAATTCTTAGTTTTTCATCTAACATCTCTTACTAAGTCTATCTTTAATATTTCTTTTTCTTTCTCTTTTTTTTTATTTTCTTTTAAGTTCATGGAGTAGTAGCGTATTATAAAAAATGCTTGATATTACGATAATAGACGAGTTCTCTTTTGCATATCTTTTTACTTTACTACAAACGAGACGACCGTCTCCGGTGTACATTGGAGCATAAACATCGAAACATTTTTCCTCCCTTACTACTCCTGAAACTTTCTCATCTGCGTCCAACAAAAGTCGCGACTTGCGCAACGTTCGCGTCTCGAGCCAGATAATATCGCATAACGCAATAGTTATTACTTATTACCAAGTAAAAACGATCAGAAAGTACGTATTTATTACGATTGTATTCTAATCGTGCATTTATAAGAAGTAAATCGACATTACATACAAGACAGTCTCATTTGTTACTCACGTAACCAATCCATCTTGCTTCTGACAAAAATAAAAATAAAGAAAGTGGGCTTACGTGAACATATTATCCATCTACCGTCAGTCCTACTTGACTCTGTCCAGTTTGTAAGTGAAGAGCAGCATCCTGAGTCGCGCCTCTTCCTTGCGATAGTGAGCCTCCTCCAACTTGATCCTTGCCTCCTCCTTCAGCATCGCGGCGATGTCGACTTTCATCTGCGCCTCCGAGAGCGCGAGCATGTGCAACTCCTCCTCCCGCTGCGCTGATTTTCTCTTGCGATTATACTGCTGCATCACGGAGGGCGACGTTAAGATATGCGAATTGTTTAAACCTGAATTTACGTGAGCCTTCTCAAGGGTATCTTTCGCCGATTGGTTGATCGTAACCGGGTCGGCGTTTGTTTTCACTGATTTTACTTGACAATCAACCATCGGGCTGCAAGATGCCACGAAAGCCTCATATTTGTTTTTATCGGTGATGATTTGCTTGAATGTATCGCCATCTGCACAAAATCAAAGATTTAATTAACATGATTTAATTATTTCGATAAAATTACAATGCAATATAACAAATTTTTTAATAATTTCAAAATTATAATACAACTTTACAGTTTTTAAAAATGTTTGATATATAATTTATTGATAATAATTTGATTTGATAAAAATGTCATATATTTGTTGTATTTTCTCATATTAATATTTGATTGTCATTAATTTATACACAGGAAAATCGATCTATCTTAGACTAACGTTTCTTTGATTCTAGTATCACGGTAGCTAAATATAGGGGACAGTGTATATAAGCTTACTTACAACTCATGTCTCGGCAACTGTCCGCATCCTTCGAACAGCTCGGCTTCTGAAGTCTCGTGGTGCAAACGCTTTGCAACGTGAACGGCTCAGAGTCCGTTGGTTCGAATAACACATTCGGTGGCAATCCGACGGTTCCGGTAGATGTTGGCGCTTCCGATGTATTCTGCCCGCAAGTTGCCGCAACTTCCCAGCACTGGTCCCTTCCCCGAGTCTCGTCTTTCGTCCATTGATAAACCGCTTTCGTACTGAAATTTAAAGATCAACAAATTTAGATACGATGCATCTCTCTTGCCTCTCTCTTTTACATACTATATATAGATATATCTTCATTCGATCGCCTGCATAACGTTCTATTTCGTTTCACAATTTCTCGTCGTTTTTCATACAATTCGAAGATTTCATCTTTCTAGACTTCTCCGCGAGCATTCTTTCTAGATTCCTCCTATCTTTGCTCAAAACGAGAATATTCTATGAAATGCATGTAACAATATTCGCATCCGTTAAGAGTTTCGCGAAATGATAATATCCGATCGAGATCACGAGTCGATAATGTTAAAGATAATCATTCAGCATAAAAGATTTTTACCGAGTCTTTTTCTCCTCGCGATTGCGCTTGCAGGCCTTCATGTTTTCCCAGCAACGTCTGAGTTGCACTGCGGAACGTGCACCCTGAGGCCCGACCAACGAGTTGTACTCCTCGGCAACCAGCGACCAAGCCGATTTCCTTTTGCATATAGAGACCGAATCCGACTTCTTGCCCTCGATTATCTCGTACTTGTTTATCAACGATATGAGGATCTTTCGCTCCTCGAAGCTGTACGTCTTGCGAGTGCCTTTCAGATACGCGGATGCCATTTTATCACGGGAGTACCGTATCGTCGATTGTTTCGCTCCCGATGCGTTTCCCTTGGTTTTAAGCCTTATTCAGATCGGCTTTCGTTAGTATCTCTAAGGTCTTTGATTTGTGTCAACTCCGAATCCTCCCAAATCTGAGCTTTTATTTGCGCACGCAACAATATTTCCGTAAACCCGATTATGAATTTAAAAAGAGATTTTCAGCAATTATTTCATTTAATTATCTTTTTCGAGAAGATAAAATGCCCCAATATATATATTGTAAATTGTGAAACATGAAACGTTGTGTATGAATGAAGATATATCTGTATTTAAAAATATTGATCCAGTTTTGCCTTGCCTTTCTCAGAATAGGAGAAAGGCCCCGATTTGCCGCCGAGATCTCATCAGTCTTACTCGAAGCGGAAAATGTCTGTTAAATCTTTCACGATCTCTTAAGCGCACTTTTATGTTTTGTCGTCTAGTAGCGCCGATGAAATCACAAACTCACTTTATCCATGTTTTAACGAGCCGTTAAATACTGACAGACCATGAAATTCATGTGCGAAAATCAACTTTTAAATAAAAAATCAAATTTTAAAGTAAAAATTTTTAACTAAAATATTTAAATAATTAAATAAATCATTTAAATATTTTTACACATTAATTAATAAATATTATTATTACAATTAGAATCTATATATAATAAATCGGCAATATTTGTTTATTATTGATACGAACAAAATATCGTTAAAATATACATATCGTTGATATGTAAAATTTCATGACTGAAATAATTCGAGAATGAAAATATGGCATTATATAGACTATATTTCCCGAACAAGACATCCGAGACAAGATATCCGAGACATCCTGATATTATACTGAATGTATTCAGAACGTTCTAAAGAATTCTTCAGGACATTCAGGATGATTCTAAGACATTTTGTGCTGCTTGAGTCGATATAAATAATAACTACTCGCACGATTAATTTCTAATCTTCTTGCTACCTGAGGATCATTTCGGGGAAGATAACATGTAAATCTCAAAAAGGAGTATGATACTTTTGCAAAATTACATTTCTATAATTATTACCCATACAGCACAAATGTCCGAAATACATTCCCAGAGACGTTCCAGAGACAATGTGATATCTCTAGAATGTCTCTGGGATGTATTTCGGACATTTGTGCTGTATGAATATTCTTGCGGATTAAAACATTCGAATAATAATAAAAAATCACAAGGACAATACCATATAAGCTACTCGGATATTGACAGTCGCGCAGTTCTCGTGTCAATGAAGACCTTTGATAAGTATTCTTCAATAATATCTTCTCGACGCAAAAAGAAAAAGTACATTTCGTAACACATAAAAACACGGTGAAATCTGTACACAGGCGAAATCTATACAAACATCGCGACTGTAGGAGAACGTCGACGAGGTAGTGTTAATGCTGCCATCTATCGGATGCTTGAAGCAACTGTAGCGTTTTACTAAATTGAGCGCCAAAATAGCCCGCCGTATCATTTATATATTCATACACATGCGCGCGTTTTACTTTACCTATTATAATGTACTCTTCCTTCTTATACTCCGCAGAAATCAGTCGATTTGATCGGAATTCACAAACAGAATATCAAGCAAAAATCGCAGATGTACTATCCGTTGTGCTCTTTGCTTTACAAAGCCCCAATCCATTATCTTGCTATTAAGTTATAAGCCGCAAATAAATTGACCAATCACAATCGTTATTCCAAGAATACTCGTCTGCGGTTGGTCAGTTTATTTACGACTTACGGTTTAAAGCAAGATTGTAAACCAGGGATAACACTTCCCGATATAATCTTTTCGTGGGTCGAATGAACGCAGAGCAAAGTAATCGCTCGATATCCCCGATGATAATTCGCGGTTTGAAATCCGATATATCAAAAGCATGAAAGCCGACAATCTAAAGATACGAAGTCCGAATTATCATTACATGGCAAACGCGCGTTACTTTGTCAGTACTCTCAACGATTTATTGTACGCGCTATTCGTTCTCTATGACCGCTGTTCAACAATATTTTGTCACGAGGACTCGCGAGGCTTACTTTCAGCGATGATACGTGTGCGAAACTCACCTTCGACGAGCAAAATACGCAGAAAATACGGAGCGGGTTCTTGGCTTCGCATCACCTTGTTACGACCGTTGGGAAAATAGACCGACCGAACGTCTCAATGATTGAGATTCTTGAAATGTGGCGACACTTGCGTAGCGAGCCAACCAATCACAGCAGTACAATCTATACTGAAAAGCGCGCAATACAAAATACGCGAAATATTCGAAATAATTGATGGATATCTAAATCAGCGACAAAATTGTCGATAAAATTGACAACCATGATTTACTGAATAGTCTTATTATCTCTGAAATATCGTAACCTCACGAAATAAGAAATATTTCAATTGGCAGTCCGGACAAGTCGTTTCGCAAAAAATTCATTCTAGATGTTCGTTCAACGATATTTTATCACGACGACTCGCGAGGCTTACTCCCGGCACTACCAACAACAATTTGTGTACTCACCTTCGACGAGCTTGGCTTCGCATCATCATATCATGACCGTTGGACTAATAGACCGACCAAACGTCGCAATGATTGAGATTCTTGAAATGTGGCAACACTTGCATAGGAACCGTCCAATCACAGCGATGCAATCTATACTGAAAAGCGCGCAATACAAAATACACGAAATGCTCGAGATAATTAGAGTATCTAAACGAGTAGCAAAATTGTATGTAAATTTGTAATAATACACGAATGTATACTTGTATAAACTTTTGCAAACGATCGTGACCGTTCAAACAAGAAAATACAAGGACAGATGGCGACAGATGACGGTGAAGGTCGCAGCGCTTGACGTCGTTCAAAACATCCGAGATGTGTATGCCGTCGTCCGCGGGAGCTGTTTCTTAATCGTCAGTTTATATATACGGTGAATATATCGTGCGAATAAAGTCGTATAAAATGAGACGGTATGTTCCATTCGGCGCGACTTCTTAGCGGGCTGCTCGTTCTGTTACTATCGATCGCACTATGCGATGGCGCGAATTACACATACGAGGTCGACTGCAGTAACCTACGAATGGGACAGTACATCTGTCCGCATCCCGATTACGATTTCATAGACCCGAAGACGCAGCAGCCGCGTGGATGCACGAAAGAAAACAAAGCCAAAGGTACGTGCAAAAAACTCGATCTTACAGCGAGAATCCTAACCTTGTCTCGTTCCTAACCTCTATTCCATCTGCGCTCTGAGTTTGATTATTTTATGTGCACTACAATCTATAATGAAATAGATGCGTTTCCTGGCATTGGAAGAGGCGTAATGCGGACAATATAATTGAAACAAAAACAGATCTTTATTTTAGTTACATTATATGTGTGTTGTAACATTAGGTTTGTTTTCTGTTGCTGAACTTGCTGCGTTAACTTGCACTGGTCTCTCCTCTTTTTTCTTCCATCAAATGTCAACTATATACCTGCTTTTTTAAGTTTCTTTTAGATGTATAAGCCCTTATCCACAACCTTACTTCAAGACGTAAGTCATACGAAATTGATCAATCATGGTTGATTTTTAGAAGAATAATCAACTGTAGTTGGCAAATTTCTTACAGCTTATGTCTTAAAGTAAGGTTGTGGACAAGGACTAATGTGCTCTTCACCTGCTGTTTCTTTCTTCTTATTTCTTTCTGACTTTAGCCAGAAAAAGATAGAAGACAAAAGACAAGAAGTAATGAGTATATTGTAAATCAAAGTTTAAGTTTCTTTTAAGTATATACAAGTATACACTAGTTCAGCAATAAAGATCTACTGCATCTTCCTTTAGAATGCTATATAATGAAAAGTAGGTCTTTAAATAGAACATGCAAACAAACAGATATTCTATTCTATTCATGTTTCCCAAAAGCTTTTTGTGGTTTCTTTACCATGTTAGAAATGAAGCTTTAATGTGCACGGAGATATTGTTTAAGACTAAATCTTGTATCTTTATCAGTGTTATGTTTAGCTGCTGATGGCCTCATCTGTACAGAAACAAAAAATAATACATTCAAGAAGGATATACCTTGTAAATGGACGTAAGTATAATTATAAATATGTTAAAAATTATCTATAGTCTAAATAATTGTCTAAATAAATAGCAAAATATCAAAATTAAATTGTAAGAAAAAGTATAGAATATTTCTGTATCTTTTACTCAAGCTTGAAGATAGATTTGAGATGTCAAAATTGGATTTTTTCTTCAGGAATGGATATTCTTTTGAAACATCGTTACTGCTGTCTATATTTCTTGGTATGTTTGGCGCCGATCGATTTTACCTCGGATATCCCGCCCTGGGCTTACTCAAGTTGAGCACTTTGGGGTTCCTCTTTCTTGGTCAATTCGCTGATGTAATACTGATAGCTACACAGATTGTAGGACCAGCGGATGGCTCTCACTATGTGATGCCATATTACGGTGCTGGAATTAAGATTGTAACCAGCAACAACTTCACATACAGAGTGCCACAGTATGAGTGTTGAGAAATCAGCAGTTCCAACACATTCATGTGCAATCATTCTAAACGTTGTATAGCCTCTGCTTTTTTCTCGCGAGCAACGATGTACAATCCTAGAATCGAGTTCTATTTCGGTACACATGGATGTAAATTAGTCTCTATACTATTTTAATGAATAAGCTTAACATTAATCTTGTAGATAATACATACTTCAACGAAATGTTGTATATAGACATTTATTACTAATTTACGTATATTGCCAGCTGAAATAATAAACGTTCGTTTTTCTATTTCTGTCCTTTGTTTTTAATCGTCTAAATGTCAACAGTGTGGTCTACATTGTGACCTTCAAAAACACTACAACTACTATTTTCAAAACAGTAATATCCATGTAATATCCGTCGTTAATCTACTGTTTTCAATTCATTGTACTATATTGTACCACAGATCGTACTAGCAAGAGGACAATAATAGAAGAATCGCCACGTCATATCTTTCATAGAGTGAAAAGTCACACCAATCACGGATAAACAGGCCGCACGCATACGTAAGGTAATATTTTACTAAAATACATAGATATCACCAGAAGGGATACGCAATATAAAGATTATACCATAAATATATAGATAAAATAATAATTTATTATTATTATTTCTAGTACTTCTTTATCCATCTCTGAGGTAGTCATCACCAAGTTACGTCAATAAAATGATTTTCTACACGCACATATAGAGATGTACAAGAGAAAAAGAAAAATTACCCTACGGATTCCAGGAAAATAAGAACCAGTGATACCTGATATGATAATATTGATCATAGCTGTATCAAAAGTAATTCGTTCTAAATGTTACTAATATTACATGTTCTCTTTTTCTTGTTCGTTAACGAGCGTGTAATAAACGCCTTTCCGATCGATTAGTTTCGAGTGCGAACCCATCTAAAAAGGAAAATATATATTATTTATATATTATTTAATGATAACATCATATTAATTCGTGTTAATTTATGGAAACGTACCTCCACAATTACACCGCGTTGTAACACGACGATTATGTCAGCATTTTTAATGGTGCTTAATCTATGCGCAATCACCAACACCGTTCTACCTTTCGTAACATTTTCTATCGCTTTTTGAACAACCCTCTCGCTCTCATAATCCAATGCGCTAGGCATAAGAAAAGAAATAAGACGCTTAGATATTTATTTAAGAAGATATAAAAGGAGGGATTTATTATGCGCACCTTGTAGCTTCGTCGAGAATTAAGATGGATGGCTGTTTTAATAGAGCTCTGGCAATAGCAACTCGTTGCTTTTGTCCACCTGAGAGCTGTATACCCCTCTCGCCAACTTCGGTCGCGTATCCGTCCGGGAATTTTGTTATAAAATTATGTGCATTCGCTTCTTTAGCTACCTCAATAACCTAAATTGATTAATGAATAGAACACATTATGAGATATATCGCAAATAATTAAATAAGAGGTTAAACTGTCATCGATTATTGTATATTCTTACCTCTTCATCTGTCGCGTCTTGCTTCCCATATCTAATGTTTTCCATGATGCTGGTAGCGAATAGAGTAGGTTCTTGATTTATGAAGCCCAAAACACTGCCTCTGAGGTAGCTCGAGTTGAGTGATCTGATATCTTGGCCGTCAATAATAATAGAACCTTCATCCACATCGTAAAATCTACAAATTCCATGCGCGAATTCTACGAGATCTTAAGTAAAATTTGTGTGATTGACAGGGAAGTTTACTATACCTTTCTAGTAACGCAGCCACAGTCGATTTTCCATTACCACTGGTACCGACAATAGCCACTGTTTTCCCAGCAGGAATGTGCAAGTTGAAGTCTTTTAAGATAGCGTGATCAGGTCTAGTAGGATAACTGAACTTCACGTTTTTGAAAACTATATCCCCCGCCAGAGATTGATCCGTGATTATGTCGCCTCCGATCATCATTGGCGAAGGTGGCATATCCAAATACTAAAAGATACGATAAGGATTTCAATGATTTTGAATTAAGTTGCACAAGAAAAGCTGATGTATTACTTGAAAAACTCTGGCACCCGCGCTGATTCCCCTCATGTAAGTTCCGAAAAGTACCGATAATTGGCCCAGAGACTTCTGTACGGTTTGTGTGGCCATTAAAAATGCCATGAGATCTCCTGGAGTCAAAAATCCTGTGGAAAGTAACTGACCGCCGAAATATAGCGTGGAAAGTAAAATACCGTTGACCAATAAATTGGTTCCTGCTTGGAAGAAGCCTATGCCTAGACCTAATTTCTCATACAGTTCGGAAGAACGCTCAAACTCCTTGCAAAACATTTCCACCTCTTTTTCCTCCGCGGCGAAAGCTCTTACCTGACAAAAAAGAAATTAGATGCAAGCATGATACAACAGTATTTTTGTAATATGACTTTTTGATTAACAAATTTATTACGGTACCGTTCGAATGTTTTGTATAGCCTCGTCGCAAACAGCAGTCGATTTTGCAACTTGATTCTGTGCTTCCATCGATAACTTTCGCAAACTTCGGCCAAGTAGAGTACCAACAAAAATTATCGTTGGTAAATTGAACACCACAACAGTGGCTAATTCTGGTGATATTGCTATTACAGAGATGATACAACCAATAATTTGCGTACAGCTTTTCAAACCTTGAGAAATGCAGATTTTAAATGAGCTTTTAAAGTCTTGAATATCACTGGTCAATCGACTTACTATTTCACCAGTACGTGTTTTGTCAAAGAACGACACGTCCTGCATAATAATGGACTTGAATAGATCCTGACGTAAATTCACTGCAATTCTTTCACCAACATGTGAAAGTGTATAAATATATAAAAATGTAAAAAAAGCCTGAAAAAATAGATATTAGATTTTATACATACTATATATAGAGATGTCAGAAATTAATTTATATACATACTTGTGCAATATACATGCGTGCCAAGATAAAAGCAGGTTGAGCAAGTTGCAAAATAACATTTTTTGTGGAATCATTTTTACTTTGACAAATTTTTGTCAGTACATTTATAATGCTTCCAACGGATTGTGGAATTTGAATGTTCAACACTGCAACTATTATTGCACTCTGTAATAAAGAAGAATAATAAAGAAGAACAGTGTATTTTAGTATTTGCTGAGATATATTAAAATTTAGAAATTGCAAATACTTACTGATAGTGCTATCACTAAATACCAAATATGTGGATACAAATATTTAAAAAATTTTTTCCATTTGAAGGTCAGTTCAGGATTTTCAGATTTTATGTCACTTACTATCTTAGCTTCTCTACAGATTACTATTTGATTACATGGCTTTAAGAGACAAGCAGTCGTTACTCCAAGTCCACCAAAGCCAAACTTAAAAATTAATGAAATAAGCTTAGAGTCATTTGTACTTTCTTTAACACTTTGTTGAGCAACCTTTGTAAATTCTTGTTTTGCTACTTTCCATACATTCTGACTCTTTCCTTGCAAGACATATCTAAAGGATGTTTGTGTTCAGTAAGGATTAGATACATTATCATTTTAAGTAGTAAATTAGCTTATTACATCTAATGTGTTGTATATCTGTATATATTATATAATTTATTAATTTTCTTTAATTAAGTGAACCAATTAGACATAGTCTAAAAAATTCAATAATTACCTTGAAATTGTTGAAAAATGACTGTGACACCTGAATGACACGGCACGTAACATAGACATTTTTATAATACAATTTGTACTATCAAACTATCGATACATAAAATATATTTAATATTTATTTCGTATTTCTCTCTGCTCTTTCGTTTATTTACTATTGTATTTATATAATTATAATTATGACCAAAGGTCTCTTTTCATAATAGTGCAAAGAAATCTTAATGGTCGAAGTTAACTAATCACATATCTGTGACTAGCGATGAGAGGTAGAGAATGAAATACGTCTATACACATATAATAATACTGCAGCTAATGTAATGACATGTTTTAAAAGCATCATTTACTTGAGTTTAACTCCGACAGATGGCATTCGATATACGTTCAGTTGGTTAACTTTGAATCAAACTTTTCACAGATGGCGCCTGATGTATGTTTGGTTGGCTACCTTGGGCCGTTAATTTCGCGAGTTACTACCTGCCCATACAAACGCACGTACGCGCGCTTTGAAAGCGACATGATTCTGCACGAAAGATGCAAATACAGGTAAGAAATATGTTTACTTTTAGTATCATATGTAAGCATATGAGATGCGAAATATACGAGAGTATGAAAACACGAAAATAAATGATATATGTAACTCTGTTTTCAGAACTCAAATACCGGCTACGTCTTGGATGGAAAGCCGATATCTCAAGCAAATGGCGGACGCATCAGGCTCATTAAACGCAAATACTACGTATTTTACAAGGTAAAATTTTTATATTTTGCGGAAAGATATACACCATTAGAATTATATGGATATAGTATTCGGTAATAATATTGCACGCAATGAGGCATAAACGCGTGTGTTCCATATTTCGAACGAAAGTAAATAAACATACATCTGTTATAATAAATCTCCATATACCTGCGTTGTTCATAACGACAACCAAATATAAAGTACTCGCATTGAGAGAAAAATACATCTAAAAATTAATTAATATTTATCTGGTAGGTATTAACAGCATATTTACATTTAAATTCTTACATTTAAATTCTTTTACTTAAATAGAATAAATATTTGCTTTCTTGATGAACACGAAGATTTTCTTGAAAAAAAATGTATATTTTCTTATTTGAAAAATATTTTATGTTAGTATAAGTAAATATGCTTATAGTGTCCACCAAATAAACATTTACTATTCCTTAGATATTTTTTCTCTCAGTGCGATAAGAACGTGTTTATACGTGTTTATCCGTTAGAACACATTAATATATCATGATAACTATATCATAAAGATAAGATTGCGATTGCATGTTCTCTCTATTATAGTAAACAAAGAAATGGAAACTAATAAATGAAGGAGCTTCTCGTCCTTATATTTTTTATTATGTAAAAGCAGGTAAGAAATGTTGTCAAATGCATATTTGATATTCTTAGAATAAGTATTAACAGTTGTTATTTGAAACTTATCTCAGGTGAGATACTCAGATCTGAATTTAGAAATTTAAATTCAGATCTGAATTCAGATGTAAATTTTTTCAGTTGGATTGCGATTACAAACGTTATGTCGCACATCTCATGTGACTCAGATAAAAGATACAAATCTGAGTATCTCACACGTGGAACAAGTTTCAAATAATGACTATTAATATATACCTTCATATTAAAACTTTCCTTATTTACGTCATTAGTTTCCGACAAAATTGTATTTTATTCATCGATGTTCACGAGTCACGATACTTATAACTTTCGGATTATTTGCAACTTTTTGCGAACTGTCGGGAGTTTGCCACGTGGCTCGTCAACAAATGTCTTCAACGTCGAGAGAAATTACAAGAGTAGTAGGAGCGGACTTTGATCAGTAAGCTAATACATGCCGCGAGCGTGCGCGCGCGAATAAAGTTCGAAAATTACGTCCCGTCCTCCGCAAGTGAGTGAATAGCGGGGCCTTAAAAGACCTAATCGCCCCGGCAAACTCTTTGAGCGGCGAGTTAATGACGTGTATTTATGTATTCGCCGCGTTTAATTGCCTGTGCGGCTATTAGCCGCTACTCCGCGGCTTCTCATCCTGTATACCACTACACGCGAGTAAGGGATAAGTACTTGTTCGTACACTCGCAATACATAACGTGCGGCGTGTAGTGTAAAATTTTCCCAATCTGGGGAGGACAAAGATATATTTTCCACTTTATATACATAGAGAAATGCTCTGAAAACCACTTTAGATCATAGTATAACGTATAATTCGCAAGAAAATTGTATCGTTACTTTTGTGGGAAAATTATTCAATTCGAAAAAGTAAGATATTTTCTGAAAATTAATAAGTTTATACGTGAGGAAATAACTTTTTTTTCCTTTCTAAAGAATTCACGACACTTCATGATAATCATAGTGACATTTTTGGTAAAATCTTTCAGAGAAATGTCTGTTGGAAAGCTTTATTACCGAAAGAATCGATTTTACTTTGCAAATGGAACTTCGTCGTCCAGCGTATTTATTCACGGATATATTGATCCTTCCTTTTTTGCGATTTATCCCCGAGAGAGTAAATTGTTAGACTACGTGGTTTTCAAGATTGCTCTTTACGAATTCTGGAAGAATATCTTGCAAAAGAGTTTGCGTCATCTGCGGCACTCGACGAACTCTGAGAACAGTGAGAACCTCACACATTAAACCCTTCCTCTGGGACCTACAAAAGCCATCGAGTCGAGGCCGCCCTTTTAACCCAGATTTGCGGCACTTGTCTTATCGTCATTTTTTATATCGTCATTTTTTATGTTCTTATCTACGACGATTTGTTTTAAAAATCAGCACAGTCGTCACAGAGTATAGCATGAAGAAAGAAAAATATATGTTATGATCACAGAATTTATGATCTAAACATAGATAGAACATGCAAATTAAATTCGACAAAGTTTATACAGTTGAAACATTGGAAGTAAAATTTTATTGCAATTTGACTAGCGACAATTTACCTACCAAATGCGCAAAAGATACGCCTTATTTTCACGCAAAAATATTTGCTCGAGTACGTACGCGAAATGCCTCGAAATATTGAAAGACATTGCGCAAAGAAAACCGAATACCGCGACGAGATTTTTCGGAAGAAATTGTCGTGTGCGAAATCGCGACGATGGAAAACGAGGAGGAGATGAAGGGAGAAAGGGAGGACGAGGGCGAAAGCAAGAGAGAGGGAAGGAGGGAGCAGGCGGCGTAAATGGAGAAAGAGAGAATTCAAGTATAAGCACTATAACTGCGACAGTTTGCCGCGCCGTGACGGCCGAAGAATGGACCAAATGAAGCCTTCTAAATTTCAACACCCTCTTCGCGTCGCGAGTCTCCCCGTCTTGCCGCCGCAACCCCCCGTTGCTCACCCCCTTCCCAGCGCTTTCCAGCCTCTCTCACTCTCTCTTTCGGTCCCTCTCAACCCCTCTGGAGTCGCGGGTACGAAAGCCTCGTCCGTGAAACACGCGGTGTGCAGGTGCTGGCGACGGGGTGGCGATGACGCAAAGTCAGCGCGGGCCAATGGACTCGCTCTGGAACAGTCGGAGCGGTGTACGACTGCCGGCTCGCGATTGGGCGTGGCTCCAGGGGCACCCTGCCGACTCTGCCGCCGCCGCCGCCGCCGCCGCCGACGGGGGTGGGAGAATCCCCAAAGTGTGCCCCGGGGTGTAATATCATACCGCTAGGTGGATAAATAGACGTAGGCTACGCGAGGCTACGTCGGTGCGCGTTGTGGGCCGGGACGGGGAGAAGAGAGAGGGGGAGGGCGGAGGGAGAGAAGAGGGAGGATGGCCGGGGGAAGGGGGATAAACGTAAGTAGGGGTAGAACGACGGCGGAGGATCGGGGATGTGCGAAATGCGAACAGAGGACGCGGAGGATGCGGAGGAGAAGATGGCAGAGAAGGTAGGATGGGGAGGTCGCGGATGGTTGCTCGAGGCCAGCCGGGAGGAGGAATGGGAACCCGGTTCTTGGTTAGAAAATGGTCGCGGTAGGCACGGGGGGCACGGGGGTTGCATGAGGAATCGGGTGGCTGTGCGCCACGACGACTAGAACAAATAATGGTTGTAGTCAGCCTCAGCTTCCGAGAGGTATTTTCCAGTCGCGCGAATCGCACTACCGCTCAGGCACGCTTTCGGCGGACGGGAAGGTGAGGGGGTAGACCCCCTTGGAGAACACGTTCCTCTCGTGGTTCTCTATGATGCGGTCGACGTCAATCGCGAGAGCGATTGACCCGCGATGAAATAAGCGAGAGACATCGGCGACATCCGAATTTCGAGTCGCGAGTCGACTCTTTGTTTTCGGATCGATCCGCTCGTTTTAGCTAACGCTTTTTGTTTCGACTCGCTTCTCTTTGATTTCATCAGTCGATATCCTTATATACTTGCATTATTCCCTAAGTGAAAATTTGTGAAATCCCAATTCGCGAGAGCGACAGAATCGCGATAAAATTTGCTTTTCTTCTCGAAAAGATGTAACTTTGATCTCCGCACCAATTCCGAATTTTCCGCATGTCGCGTAATTGCTGTAGAATACATTTTCGACAGTTTCGTGTCGTGCTTCAGATTCGCAAATAGCGATGCAAGAATTTGCTGCCGTGCGGGAAACGATATCGGTGGGTATAGCGTCGGGAAAACGAGCTATCATCGAGAAAAGCTGGCGCGCCTGAAGCGAGCTACCATCGTCTCGCACGCGATTTTGTAGAATGCTGAGCGCAGTGTGTAGCGGAACAGGATGTTGTCAGCTGAAATTAAATTTTCCTCCTAGAGCGGCGGGTCGCTCGGCAACCTGATATTATGGGCGTTAAGCTGCGTACACATCTACAACGCGCGATGACGCTTTCGCAAAATATTCGATGTCGTTCGCATTGTCACAATCTCGGTAACGATCGCGCCAAAGAAATAATTATTTATTCAGTTTCTAACTATTAATATGTTCGCATCATTTAAGGGGGGATTTTACACTTGAAAACTTTGCCGACTTTCTCTACAAAGTTTACGTCGTGTATAGAATTACACTAATACTTTTGCACAATGAAAGTAGGTATAGAATTGAATTTTCGAGCGTTACTTAATATGTAACGGAAATGATAAACAGTTTTAAAGTTGACATTTCGATCTATCTTTGCATAAATATTTGCCTGATACAAGAGTTCTGTAGCTTGTACATATCGAATGTGCGTTTGCTTCGTTCAGGAAAATTTCAGAAAATATTACAGTACACTGCAACAGAATTTGGAATTTTAAAAATATACGAAGAATTAGAAAGATTTTTATATATACATGGTTAGGTTTTTCGCTAAATGCGATAAAACAAAGCAGCATACGTCTATAAGAT